AGTATTATCAAGATGAGGATGTAAAATGCTACAATCTAGTTTTGAGTGCCCTAATGATTTACAATAAGAATAATGAGAAGGAAAATCTTTCATAACTACAAATTAATGTAACCCAAGCTTTTGGGACCAACCTACGCCTTATCCGAAAAGTATTTGTTGACATTTAACTCAACTAGAACACGCACGATAGATGACCGAGAGCTAGTAAAAGTGGCATTATCAAATTTTTAGAGGCTGAAAAAATAGAGAACCAAGACCATGAAGGATTCGAGGAGAAAAGAGGTGAGTCCTAATGTTGGGAAATGAAACCCAAATAGGAATAATGGGGGACTCAACTTCAATATGAAATGTTGGAGTTCATTTTGAACATTTCATAAAACAATTGTTCACAAAGTAAGAATGATGAGAAAATGCTCTACAATAATTAAAATCATTAACTAGATTAATCAACACATGATTCAGGATAAGAATAACAACTAAGAAATCATCATTAAGCATGGTGAGAGGAGATTTTGAAAAAAAAAAAAATAGAAAAAGTATTTCTAAAAGAATGAGAAGATGACTTAAATGGTAAAGAAAAAATTTCATGCAATGGTAAAGAAAAATTTTCTGATTGCATCAAGAGAGGGTATTCGACCCAAAAATTTGCCAACCAAAGCGAACTCAAATGGGGTAGCAAGCACAAGAACTTTCTCTTCCGAAATCCACAATGACAGTAACCCACAGTGTGAGGAGATTTTGAGGTTATGTAAGTTCGAAGATGGAGAAACACTAGATAAAGCATTTCTAAAAGAATGAGAATAGGACTTCCCACTCAAAAAATCGGTATCATTCAAGTGGTAAACCGCCATCAACCTACAATGCCAGAAGAAAGAGGAAAAATCAAGCTAGAAAAAAACCAAAACATTACAGAAAAAACACCTAGGGAAAAAAAAAGGGGACTTCCCTGGAGCTGAATCAACTGTTGGAGGTGATGAGGAGAGCAACGTGGAGGAGAGAGGCTAGGGTAGGAAAAACCTTAGCAAAGCAAAACATCGTGAGAGTGAAAGATGAAAGATAAATTGAAATAGAAAAAAACTATAAAGGTTGAGTTGAAGCTTCGTTGGGAACAGCTTTAGATCACTGCTTTATCTCTGCTTTCAAGATATTTTTGTACTAAAAAACAACTTAACAAAGCAATAAAAAAACTGTCCCAAACAAAAACTCATTATTGGCTATGAAGTGCGTGAACTAACCTGATCAGACAAGTGATCTCCTTCCTCACATGGACCTACAGAGAATCATTGATGATGCATATTTCTATCACCTATAGCCACTAATGGTGCGACCCAATCGGCTCTACATCATCAATGTGCCTCATTTGTTTATGAAAAAAAAAATGTTCTTTTTCAAATTATTGGCACATTAATACATTGTTCAATAATTTCCCATCATTTATTAGTCAATCATAAAAAAAAATTATTATTTTTCTTTGAACAACCATGACATATAGTCCATCTTATCATGTTGTGTGTCTTAATATGCACATATTAGAATAGGAGGACTCTTCTTTTTCTTAATAAAGATGGTATCCCCTTTTACTCGATCTATACAAGAAGGTACACTTCTATTTCAAAATTCTTTTCTCTTCCATCTAATCGATAAAATTCAGTATCATATGTACCATGTGAACCTCTATACATCCTCTATTTGATGATACTATCTTTTTCTTAATAGAGGCATTCATGGGTTTAAAGTTCTAATACATTAGATGAACAATAAGGATCATTTATATTTGTTAAAATATTATAAGTAAAATTAAATGAAAAATATTTAAGTTGCCTTTTTAATGTTCATTAGGAAATACTAAAACAATCCTAAAAATAGAAAAAAAAAAGCATGCTAAAAATAAGTAAAATTTTGGAGAATATAGATGAGTTTGCTAGTAGATCACCTAAGTTGTCATAAGCATGGTTAACATAATTATCACTAAATCAAAATTCTAACCTCTATTAATTTGATTGAATAAGTTATTCGTAGAGGACTTAAATCAATCTAGTTGATTGTGATTAATTAGACATTGCAAACTAAGTGCATAGATTATTCCTATATATCATAGGGAATTCTTTCTATCATAATCTAAACTAACATAACCTCAAAGACAACTCAGAGTAGGTGCCACTTCATTAAGTTTGTTATGCTACGGCTGCATTTGGGATAGCTTCCTCACTGCTTTCTAAAGCAGCTACACAAATTTCTTAAACTATAAAATTTTGTAATAAAAAATTACTTTAAAAAACAATAAATGCTGTCCCAATAGAAGCCTAAATCTTGAGTTGAGTTTTCTCCGATTCAATTCCTAATGGTGTCTATCAATAGCAAAGTTAGTCCCAACCATTTGAATTGGATGATAATGATTACTAACTACATCCATTCAATTACAATTATATTTGAATAGGATTGTAATTGACTCATAAAATGTCTTTTCTTATAATTTTCTTCTAAATAAATATTGAGAGTGACTTTAATTATCTCTTGAATGGAACTTATCACTTCCAATATCTATAAGCTTTTAAATATTTCTCCTCCAACAACATTTGATAACTTACAATGTAACAAATAATCCCTTATTGCATGCATTTTAAAAGACTAAATATATGGCCTATAATTAAGAATTAATAATGATAATACCAAAAAAAATATGCATTCCCACAACTTTTCAAAAATTTGTGTTGTGAAAAGCTTTTTTTTTTTGTAACCATAATAACTAAAATTTTGTTTGGAATAACTTTCTTACTACTTTCTAAAACAGTATTCTAAAACAAAAAATTTAAAACTTGAAATTTTTGTACAAAAAAAGTTGTTTTAGAAACAGTAAAAAAGCTGTCCCAAACAAAGCCTAAGTTGTTTGTCCAAAAATAATTTTACAACCAATTTTATAAAACGTCATAGTCATCGCAAACCGACCCTTAATCTGAATTAGTTTCTTGAAAACAATGATCTGAAAAACTATACTGTAAGAAAGTTATCCCAAATAAAGTCTTAGACTTCGTTTGGAATAGCTTTAAATTATTTTTTTCCGACTTTAAGAATTTTTTACAATAAAAAATTGTATTACAAAACAATAAAAAAGTTATCCTAAACAAAGCCTTACTTTTTACCTTTCTAATTAATTTTATAAATTTTGGTCATTGCAAAATTACATTAGTGGACATATTCTAATTAATGAAATTAGTTGGGCGGAAAAAAGAAAAAAGAAATCTAAGAGATAGATATAAATGCTATTAATTCGAATGTGACAAACCCTTCTGTTTGGACAAAATATTATTCGTTTGTAGCTGGAACCATTTGTTCTTATTTTCCAAAAATAAATAATTTAATTTTCTTAACTTTTCTTTTTATTTTTTATTTTTTATTTTATAGTATATTCTTACTGAAAGCGATGTTTCACATGTTTTATAAGATAATAATAATAATATAATAATAATAAATAAAGCATTTAATTTCTCCAATCAAATAGCGGACGTACTAAACCAAATAAAGACTTCAGCTACCAAATTAATAAGACTTAATTGTTCTATTTTCTGTCACATCCACTAATGGTCAGTCACTCTCAATGGAACTTCAAAAATTTAAAAAAATCGCTCAAAAATTGAATTATTATTATTTCGTTTCTAAATTTCAAATTGAATCAAAATTAGAGTGCTGATTACCAAGTCAAATTAAATTTAAATTGACCTAAATTTTGATCAAATTCAATAATTTGGAGATCATACATTAACAATATTAACAAACAAGTTTTTATCTCATTACATGGAGAAATTATTCTATGAAGTCACTAGACGATTCAGAGGCGAATCAAGATGCGCTACGTCACATTATACACAGCAACAAAATGACACAGCGCTTCTTGATTCGCCTCTAAACGCCGTCCGTTGACCGCACAGAATAATTTCTCTTCCACTACATGAGGTCAATGATGTAAGAATTCTTACTTATTTAACACTTCATCCAGACATAGGTGTAACGACCCTTATACATTTTTCAAGGTATTCAAGTTATACCGTGCATCGCTTCATGGGAACGTCCAAGCTTTAACATGATGTATTAAAGAATTCATGTGATGATTTGTTCGATAAGTTTTACTTTGCCTGTTGACTTTCTAATGCAATATTTTATTTTATCATCTATGACTTGGGATCCGACACTGATAATATTAAGTAAGAGGCTATATTGAAAGATAAAAAATTGTTCTCGTGACTTTTTTTTTTTCTTTTTTTTACTTTCTATTGTCTTTAATAAATTGTGCAAATTGCATTATTTTTATGATCGTGACTTGTGTGTATATCTCGTGAATTATTATTATTATTATTATTTTACATCTCGTGAATTATTTAAATGAATTATTGGGCATATAAAATGAAGGATATAAATTGTAAATATTAATTTATTTGATGAGTGAATAGTTTGTAAATTAGCTGCTCACCCGTGGCTTAATAGTTGGAGATTTATGATTAATCGTCAATATTAAAATACGAACATTTGTATGTATTATGCTTTAATTTACTCTTAGAGGAAAAAAAGAAAATCAATTAAGGTTGGTTAGAAAAATTGCTTTAGGTAATATTTCTTTTTAAATAAATTTGATATCAAAAATTAAATTATCCAGCAAATAATAAATCCATTTTTTTATTTTAGTTTGGCTCGATTCCATTTGGATTATTTTAATTTCAAAAATATTTAAGAAACTTAAATGATTTGACCTCATTTGATTTGTCACTCTTTATAAGCTTTCATAGTAATAGATTGATTTAATATACCATGCAATTATATAAATTGTGTTTAATTAATCTACTCAGTTTAGCATATTTTAAATTTTCAAAATTCAAAATATAAATAAAAACAAACAAGCTATTTAAATAAACATTTTTAATCAGTTTCATTAGAATTTCTAAATTTGCAAATTTTCAACAGATTGTGAATTTACAAAGGAGTGCCCCTCAACTAAACATTTAGCAAAGTAAATGCCTACAAAATGATCAAATTTCACTTACATTAAATATTTCTGCAGCTACATTAAATGTCTTTGAAGACTAACCTTATCTATAAAAATGAAAAAATAAAAAAAGAAATATTATGAATGAGCATCAAAAATCTTCAACTTCACCTCTTAAATGATAGAGACTTCAACCACCACAACTCAGTAGAAGCTTAAAATCTGCGTTAATACACAGAATTTGCTGTCAGAATTCAGTTCGACATATAGAGAGAAGAGAGAGCATCATCAATTCTATCATTTCAGTAACAGCAACTTCATTATTCCAATTCCAGCACCTGCAATAAGTTACAGCTAATTCACTTCACAGACCTTTAGATTTTAAATTATTAGAAATTTGATAGAGTGATGGGCTGTTATTTAAGTTTCGATAAAATAGGGTCGACATTTTGAGCAGGTCCTAATTTGCCCCTTAACTTATTATAGGGTGATTATTGTTTTAAATGTAATTAAATTTTATGACTCTTTAATTTGTTTCTAATGCAATGCATGCTGATCGACTTTGGTATGTAAAAATGATACGAAGCAATTTCAAAATGACTTAAATAGATTTTTACCTAGAGATTGCACAGTAGAGAACTGCAAAAAAAAGGAAAGAGGAGCTAAGGAATAAAAACCTGGGAAGCCCGAAACCATCTTCCACTGATCCAATCATGATGAGGTCTTAGGTCTTCATATCTAAATTCTATTTCTTGTCCCCAAGTCCTGAAGTAAACGATGTAGTTTGAATCATCAATAACTTTTGAAATAACTCCAACCCACCATCCATCATTGTAATAAGCATCAACTTCTTCAAGATACTTGAATTTTGCAGGTGGTAGAATGGCGGGGGGTGTAGGCCTGATGTGCAGAGAATCAACAGTTTCTTTTAATGGCTCGGTTTCATCATCAGTTGTCAAATCTCTGTATTCCACAAGGAACTTATTCCTAACGGACTTGACAACGGTTGCTGGGAACCAGGCTCCATGAAAACCTTCAGCATCACTGCTAACCTCCACAGATGTTCCCTTTTGAAACATCTTTCCAGACATATCCTGAATTAATGTTACAATAATAAGTAAAAGCTTAAACACAAAAAAAAAAAAAAAGCTAAAAAAAAAAAAAAAAAAAAAAAATGTATGACCAGGTGAATGAAGCTCTAAAAATGGAGTGTTTAGGGAAGGGTTGGCATGAATAGTTTCAGAACACAGAAATGTTGTAATAATTATATCAATAAGATATCTGGAATCCTGCCAAAGTAATTCTGTGTAAGATTCTACAAGTTTTTGAAATCTGACAGGAAATTTTGGTTTAAAATGTACATGTATGCCATTGCCAGATTAACTAGCTTTTTTGTGTTTCTTCATGCATGTTTGATGGTCTAATCTACCAAGAAGGTGGCATAGAATATGATGGAAGACGCATAACTTACGAATATGTATATGCGCTTAAGAAGAAATGTTAAATGAGAAAATATAACTCATGCTTGCTCTTTGGAATGATAGCAACGTTCAAAGTATGATTAGGTATTTTTGTATATACAATACTAAAGGGACAACAACTAGTATAGAGATTTGGCAACGAGTTATAAACGGACTCACTTGCCCTAGAACTTCTTCACATTGCTTGGTGTTCTCCCATAAAATTTAACATAGCATATTTCCAAGTGTCTGATTCACAACCTCCATTTGTCCGTCCAATTGAGGGCGATACCTTGAACTTAATTTGATTTACATATACATATGCTTCCACAACTCCCACAAAAAATGACAATGAATTTAACAACACGATCAGAGGTGAGGTTTCATGAAATTCCATGAAGGCGCATAATTTTATGAAAGAAAAAGATGAGTAATATTGACACATGATGAAGTCAGCCATGTTCAAAAAACCTATCCACAAGAATCATGATATAGTCGCTCGTGCATTTTGCTTTTGGCAAACCTAAAATGATGTCTAAATTCAAGTCCTCCCAAATCGAATCAGGAACATGTAGAGGTAAATATAAACCAGCATTTTGCCTACTGTCCTTGCAAATTTGACATACAACGCACCTCTCAACAAAGCAAGACACACCTTGATGCAGACGAGGACAACGAGTTTGCAGCTGTGCAAGCTTCTTCTCTTGTCCGACATGTGCATCTAGATCACATTTGTAAACCTCTTTAATGAGTTGATGGCATCACAACAATTCCGGTATACACAACCTGTTTTTAAATAAAAAACCATGTCTAATAGAGAATTTTGGCTTCTATAATTTGTAGTCACAGCCCATTTGGACACTCGTTTGATTTGTACGTGAGCTTGAAAGCATCGATAGCATATGAAGTTAGTGGGTTTTGAGTATGGATTTTTTAAGTAATCTCAACTTTTGAGGTTGTTTAGCGTTGACACCAAGGTGTGCTGGACTAACGGACTAATAGATTTGTTGCTAGAACAAATGGGTTTTAGCTGCAAGAGCGTTCAAATTACTACTTCCAATAAATTGCTTGACTAACTGCCAGCATAATTCAATTCCAAATTATTTTGAATTGCAAATTTTTAGTTCGGCCATATATCGAGCAAATAGTTTATTTTTGTTTTAGGTGTTCAAACTATGAAATTTCTGTGTGTAGTCACTCACCGAGCAATTTCCTTGTGAACAGTGTTGATACTTCAAATACAACATCTATTTAAAATTAGTTGGAAGGAAATAGTCTCACAGTTATTGTTTTATCCTATGTTAGCTCGAAATCCGCCCTTTTCCTCCACGATGCCTAGTTTGGAGTAATTGCATCCGCCACGCAGTTGCACCCCCTGTGAGTTTGCAAGCAACATATTTCACTTGTCTCTCTGGTGCTATCCTCATATATTCAAAAAATGTCTCAACGATTCACTCAAAATCCAAATAGTCTTCAATGCGTAATCGCCATTAAAATATGGGATGTCCAATTTGACGTGGAACTCATGGTGATGGTAGTTATAGGTTTCGTGATGCCTTTGTCTAATATCATCAATATAAAACTCATCATCGTTAGACACAAGGACCTTGACATGATTGAAAACATTAGCTTCCACATCAAAATCATTAATTTTTGCCACCACAAATTAATGCCTTTGGATTTCTCGGTCGAACAAATGACCCCATCTCCCTGCCACTACCAATGTGGTTGCTTCTACAGTCAATTGGTTTATGAGGTCTATTCTTATTACGGATTTTAAATTTTGTATTTCATGCCGCATTTCTATTGAGAAACACACAAATTTTGCAGAGAGGTCTTCTACCTTCAATTAAGCTATCAACTAGGCTTCAAGGCTTGGATCATCGTTGACAGTTGGTGTAAATACACTTAAATATATGTTGACATAAAAATTGTGCCAAGATGAGACAAAAATAAGATTCTTTGCGCAATGGAATCAACTTAATGCATGAACAAGAAAGAAGAAAAGAACTCATCCAAAACTTACGGATATTATATTTGTACACATTATCAAGATACATACAAAAAATAATGATTATCTTCATAAAAATAAAAATAAAAGATTAGTTACCAATCGAAGCAAATCTACAATGATTGAGTCAATTTCAAGATTTAAAATATTTATCTTAGAAATCTAGAAAAATCATGAATGACTGTCCTAAAATCATCATTAGAAATCTAGTTTCAATGGAAATAATTCTAGTTTTATGAGATTTTTTGTATGGCTACATTTGAATACACGCAAAGTAAATCCCAACAAGCAAAATTGTGCGTACATTAACTTTACACACAAACTCTACATCAAACAATATACAAAAACTTTGCATGCAAAGATTGCACCAAAACTTTCAAGCTAAACTACCCCAAAAATATGGAGCCAGATGCCAGTTAATTGATCTAAACCAAACTACATAGATGTAGTCACCTCGACCTACCTTGGCAACCAATCAAGCAAGCTTGTGCATTTCATAGCCATGCTAAGCATCAATATTAAAGAAACAAAAATACAATAGTAGTGGAATTTAAATAAGAATAATATTAAGAACAAAAAATGGATAAAAGGGATTTATATACATATCACATAATCATCATATATTTACATATCTAACATATTAATTTTTATATTTACTTATATAACAACTATATCTAATAAATCAAAAATAGCATTCCATTAATAATCCTTTGCTTCTCCATTAGCTTTGCCTAGCCCACAATTGGCTACTGCTATTGTATGCAACCCTTCAACACTATTAGGCTCTCCAACACATACATGCACCTTCTCATTCTCCAAAAACCACAGCATAGCAAGCTCGCCGCCCCCAACCAATGGCACTTAGCTCGCCCATGCATCCAACGCCCATTGCCACCACTACCTGCACTGCCTCTCCACCAAACCCAGCCGTCCATGCTTATGCACATGAAGCCTCCTCCGACACTCGTCTTGTGCATGGTGTTCTCATTGTGCGTCTACTATGTGGCACCCCATACTGCGTCCCTGCTACTCTGTGCATGCATGTCCTATGCACATGTGCTTTGTGCATGCGCAATCCACACAACCCTCCTACTATTGGAGGGTTTCAACATCTCCAATGGGAGCTAATAGAGAAGTTAGTGATTATTAATGAAGTGGTATTTTTGATGTGTTATATATTTAATTGTTATATAAATAAATATAGGGTATAGGCATTATATATGTAACTAAATGAGTAGTAGCTGGTATGTTTGTAAACCAGGTCTAAATAAAATAGAGTTGAACTAAATCATTTCATGACCAGAAACCACAACAAAATTTCTTAAAAGAGAAGGGAAAATAAACCGTTAATTACAATTCAGTAGAATGTAAGTAAATCCCCCAAGAAAAAAAACTTTGCAGCTAGAATGACAATTTACCTCTGTGGAACATACTCCAGGGACAGATGAAACCTGCATAAAGTGGAAGGAGATTAAAACTGAAGGCATGCATAGTAGATCCAAAAAAGGTACGAAAGCGTAGATTAAAAACGCCACACACTCAAGAACCAACTTTACAACAACTATGAAAAACGTGCCGCGCTGCAGCATCTCCAAGACATGGATGCAACATGTATGATTTGGAAGGAAAGCGAAAAGAAGGAATTTTCCCAAAAAAACCCATAAAGAGAGAAAATAACGTATCAAACTCAGATACCTGCGTCTGGGGATCGACCCATTCCCCATTGACCCAATCTAAATGAGGCCTAAGCTCCGAAGGCAGGAACTCCATAACGTCGCCAGTGCTGGGGAAGCTGACGCTATATTTTGCTCTCCGCACGCTACCCAACAAACCAGAGACAACGCCTTCCCACCATCCATCGTTGCAGAAAGCGTCGACGGGCTGTTGAATGGCAAATACGCCATCGCGTGCGAAAATCGGCCGAGGTCGAACGTATGCGGCGTCGACGGTCTCCCGGAGATTCCTGGACGCATCAGTCTCCTCAACGATGGAGTCGTATACGACAGTGTAGCGGTTGAGCCTTGGCATGGAGCGGACGATCTTGGCCTCGTACCACGCACCACGGAACCCCTCATCGTCGGAGCACACCTCCACTTCATCGCCGGTCTTGAAGTCCATGGCCGGCAAGCAATGGGTGATAGGCTCAATCCGTTCTTGGTCCACCCAAGATTAGGGTTAGGGTTTGCAACGAACGTCTTGACGTTGGCGGGAAGTGAAGAGGGGGGATTTCGCGGACTGGAAGCGCCCCGCGCTTCATCTAACGAAGAGGGATTTATAAAAAGGCGTACAAATAAAAGTAGTAAAAATTTATATATATATAATTTATTTGAACTAAAAAGATTTTTTTTAATATTATTTCTATTTTTAACTATCCAATAGTTTAATCATTAAAATAAATCATCCATTATTAAACTAGTATCTTATTTTAATTTTTTATTAATATTTATTATTTATTTTAATTTTACTCAAATGTTTAAAATTATAAAAGAGTGTGCATTTAATGCAACATTATTGATTTTTTTTTGTAATGTTTAAAATATATGTAAGTATACATTTTCTTTCAATATTGTTAGCTAAATTAGAGTTTGGTTATCCAATTAATACTTTGAAGTTTCTAAATATGCTTTAGTCTCTGATTAGGTTGCAATTATTTTGTGCGAACACCAAATATCGTTCGGAGACCAATCAAAATAGGTCATGTCACCTTATGCTTGATACTGCTCGATAACGTGACTCGGTATCGAGCTCGGTACCACTGGTGTGGCGGCGCGTTCTTGTTGGTCTCTGGATAGTGAATTGTGTTCAAAGTCCGCACAGAATAATCTCTCATGATTTGGACCCATTTGGCTCAAAACTCAACAACACCAAATTCAACTCAATCCGAGCCCAAATGGGTCCGAATTGAGGACCCAAAGCATTGTTGGAAAGTTTGAACCACAATTTGAGTTACCAAACGGTTTCCAAATATGACGTTCTTCTAATCGAATCAAGCGGCCCGACGAGATGAATCCAACAAGCCCAAGATCACCGAATTCCGACATCATTAAGACCTTCAAATGTCTGACGAATGGTACACGATCAAGGGATTCAATATCAACCGTCCATCCGACCACTCTCTATTTACCCCTGATATCTCACCTATTTACAAGCCATGCCACTCCAGGATATCTATAAATAAACCCCTCATTTCTCATGAGAGGGGCCGAAGCAGGAGAAAGAGAAGAGGAAGAGAAGAAGAGAAGAAGAAGACAATGATAGACGGGAAGAACTCCTCGACCACCACTAGTTCTGCGCGACGCCGGAATTCTGCCTGACTTCTGAACGACGTAGGAGTTCTGCCTGACGCTCAAGTGGCGCCAGAGTTATGTCCGACGTCAGAATTATGCCTGACTTTCGAAGGATGCTGGAGTTTTGCCCAACGCTCAAGTGACGTAAGAGTTCTGCCCAACGCCGGAATTCTGCCCAACTTTCGAACGACGCCGGAATTCTGCTCGCCCTCGGAAGGACGCCAAAATTCCGCCCGATCTCCAAGTGACGCCGGAACTCTGCCCGACGTTGTAACTGATTTTCAATCCTTAAGTGATTCATTGTAATCTGATCGTCCTAATTTTAAGAACGAGTCAACCCTTGTATTTCAAGCAAACACTGGTGGAACTCTTTCAACTGGGCGTGGACCCGTGGTTTTTCCTCTCTCAGGGTTTTCCACATAAAAATCATGGTGTTGCTATTTCTTCTATGTTTGTGTGCTAGATATCCGTACAACATTGAGACGAAAATTTTTTAACTCTATCGTCGCGTATATTCTAGTCCGCAACAATACTTTAGGCACTTCATCTTCTGTAATCTTTTGATGTCTTATTTTATTTGCAATTCCACAAGTAAAGTTAATTATCTTTCGAAGGTTTTATTTGCGACAACTTTTTTTATGCTTTCTAAAACAGTTTTTTACTATAATTTTTTTAATTAAACATTTTTGTACTAAAAAGCTGTATTTAAAAACAATATGAAATCTGGCCCGAATGAAAGCCTGAGACTCCCCATTCCTTTTAAGCTCATTTAATATAACTGTTAACCCCATCAGCTTGTGAGCCGACTAGAACCTATAAAATAAAGCTCAAGCTCGAGCTCAAACCTAAAGGTTAAACGAGCTCAGATCGATTCGTTTACACCCCTAATTATAACAACCAATTTTTCCCTTGTTGACTAGTCTTATTTAGCAATAGTTTTAGGGAGGGTGTCATCATATGCAAGCCTTTAAATAACTAAATAAATAATACAAAATAGAATTGCCAAATCAATTTTTTTGTTAATTTATAATTTTGTTAAATACAAACCTATGGATCTCTATCAATTCTGCTTCCTCTCAATTAAATTTTGCTGATCATATAGAATTAGTTAAGAACAAACCTATGCGATTGAATTTTTAATTTTGGATGCATGACGGCCTTCTTAGTTGGGCCAAACTTGGGCTCGATACATTACCTTTGGGCTTCTTGGATCTGGTAAAGCGACCCGTTTTCACCTCTTAAAATGCCTAAATTAGGTGTTATTGGTTGGTTAAAGCCCCATCTATTGGACTGCGAAGAAACAAAAGTACTGTAACTCACCACTCTACCTAGACTTAGGGGTGCAAGCAAACCAAACGTTCGATGAACTACTCGTTGTTTGGTTCGATTAAAACTTATTTGTCATCGTTTACCTAACTAAACAAACAAACTTGAACAATATTTTTAGTACTCGATCCTTAAATAAACAAGTTTGAACACTAATGTGTTCGTTTCATTTATGCTCACGAACAACATCATTTGAAGCTCGTGAACATGCTCTACATTAAGCTCGAGAAAAAGCTTGATTCGTATTCAATTCAAAACTCGTGAATAAGCTTGATATAAAATTGATAAATATACATAATATAAATATTTTAATTTAGTAAAACATAATGATATAATTATTTTAATTAACAAATTTTAAAGTAATTAAATATTATAATATAAGTTGTAGCTTTAATTTCCTTACAATTTCTAATTTATTATATTACATTGTTAGACCTTGCTCATTTGATAGCTCAAAAATACTCGCTAGATTTGTTCATGAACATGCTTGTTTGATAATTTAAAAAAATCGCTAAATATGTTCACGAACAGAACTCGTTAAGATTTGTTTGTTTAAAGCTCGATAAATACTAAACGAACCAAACATGAACCAAACATGAACATCATAATTTAAACGAACAAAACATGAACACAAACAATAAAGCTCAAATCAAACACAAACCAAACTTGAACAAGCTAATAATAAACAAACACAAACATGAACACTCACATACTCGACTCGGTTCGATTCGTTTGCAGCCCTATCCATACTGAATATCACTCTATTATCACCAATATTTTTTGTGTTTCATTGATCTTGATATCCTCATTCCTCAATCCCCAATGGTTTACCATGGGAACGGGTGAAATTATTTTGTGTGGACATCGGATCATCCGGAGGTGAATTAGAACGCGACACATCATATGTTTGTTGTGTACCGCTATGTATCGGGTGACATGGTGCATTCTGATTCGCCTCCGAACTATCTGGTTTCTGAATATAATAATTTCTCTGGAAACTGAGTGTCGTTGATCTCTATGCAAATCCAAATCACATATAAAACAAACTACAAAATAGTTCACATGTCCTTGTCTCACTAATGATAAGCTATTAGACGCTCTCACAATGCTATTACCTCTCAAAGATATGAATATGATCATCTAAAATAGATTTTCTCTGGCGTATGTTGGGCCGGTCGATTGCAAGGAAACCTCAACAAAATTTAAAGGAACGATATTGTGCGTTAGGGTTACCAATAGAAATAGAATGATCAATGCTCTCAGTAGAGTTCCCCTACCACAAATTATCTCTTACAATCATCAATCACCAAAAAACACGAATAATAAAGAATTGAAAGAGACGCTTTTGAAATCCCGATAAAATAAGACTTTCAAAGATTTCTAATTTCTCAAAAAACATATAACATACCTCATTTGCTCTGAATCAAATTCTAAAATATAAAATATACATAAAGTATATTACAATGCATCCGTTTTACGTCCAACCAAATAACCCCTTAAGCTTTTATTAATATAATCATTTTACATGTTGATGCTTAATTAATTAGAAACAAGCTAAGAAAGAATCATAATAAAGAAGTGGAAACATTCACCTTCCTCCTATGCCCTTCCAAGTGGAAATATAAACAAATACTTTTTTTTTTCTTATGAAAAATGTCAGAAATTTGCAGAAAAATCCACTCAAATTTCATTTTTCCACTTTACAAAAACATAGAAAACCTTTGTGAAGAAGTTATATAATGGTGCTGTAAAATGTAATTAGTTTTGCAAGCATTTCTAAATGCAATAAAATATTTGAAGCATAATGTAAATGCATGTAAATTTTATTATTTGTTGACTACGTTTTTAAAAAAAAATGCAGTACAAATATATAAAAAGTGTCAATTTCATCAATTATGAAAATATTTACTAGTCTTTAGACTAAGCTTTATATTAAAAAAAAATATTTTTTTGTTTTCAGAAAATCAATTTTATTATAAGATACAGCTAATGAAGTTGATTTAAAAAAAAAAAATATTTATCTGCCATATCAATAACACGTACAAATTAATTTAATTTTTTAATAATTTATTTATTTATTTTAGTTCACTCAATGCTTAGCTGCACTTATTTTAAGAAAAATCTCTTCTATTTTATTTATTTATTTACCTTGACTTGGCTAGCAGTTGACGAACTCCCTTGTTTTTTATTTTTTTTTGCATAAATAAATTGAAAGTCAAAATATTATTTTATTTTTTCTAAAATAAAATAGGAGAGAATCATCAAAATCAACTGTATAAAAAATTATATTAATTTATTTGACTGATGTAATTTTGTATTAATTAAATGGGAAGATATAAAATTAAAATAAATGGTCAGAATTAAATTTTTGTTTTAAGCGTTTACCTATTTTATATTTTGATTTCAATATTATAAATTTAAGCATTTAGATTTTCATTCAAAGTGTAACTAGTAATATTAGTATTTGATTTTAATATTAATTTTAACTTTTATTTAATATTAATTGATTTGGTAGAAGTTTTTAAACTTTATATTTGAAAAAAAAAACTTAAGAATTATTCTTTATTTAAATTAAAGGAAACAAAATAATAATAATAAATATAATGTTTAGATTATATTAGATGTATCAGTTGGAATAAATGAATAAATAGAATC